TACTATAGTTTACCTGTTACACTCCACTGTGTATAGTCCTAAGATAGCTACAGATTTATATGTTAGCATAGTTTACCTGTTACATGACCAGGGCGCGTTTACCTGTTACACACACCTGTGTATAGTCCTAGAATACCTACAGATTTATATCTTACCATAGTTTACCTGTTACATACCCCTGTGTATAGTCCTAAGATACCTACAGATTTATATCTTACCATAGTTTACCTGTCACACACCCCTGTGTATAGGCCTACGATACCTACAGATTTATCTCGTACCATAGTCTACCTGTTAAACACCCCTGGGTATAGTACTAGGATACCTACAGATTTATATATTACCATAGTTTACCTGTCACACACCCCTGTGTATAGACCTAGGATACCTACAGAACTATATGTTACCATAGTTTGCCAGTTACACACCCCTGTGTATAGGCCTACGATACCTACAGATTTATATGGTACCATAGTTTACCTGTTACATACCCCTGTGTATAGTCCTAAGATACCTACAGATTTATATATTACCATAGTTTACCTGTCACACCCCCCTGTGTATAGTCCCAGGATACCTACAGATTTATATATTACCATAGTTTACCTGTTCCACACCCCTGGGTATAGTCCTAGGAAACCTACAGATTTATATGTTACCATAATTTACCTGTTACACACCCTTGGGTATAGTCCTAGGATCCCTACAGATCTATATGTTATCATAGTTTACCTGTTACATACCCCTGTGTATAGTCCTAGTATACCTACAGATTTATATATTACCATAGTTTACCTGTTCCACACCCCTGGGTATAGTACTAGGATACCTACAGATTGATATGTTACCATAGTTTACCATAGTCTACCTGTTAAACACCCCTGGGTATAGTCCTAGGAAACCTACAGATTTATATGGTACCATAGTTTACCTGTCACACCCCCCTGTGTATAGTCCTAGTATACCTACAGATTTATATGTTCCCATAGTTTACCTGTTAAACACCACTGTGTATAGTCCTAGGGTACCTACAGATTTATATCTTACCATAGTCTACCTGTTAAACACCCCTGGGTATAGTCCTAGGAAACCTACAGATTTATATGTTCCCATAGTTTACCTGTTAAACACCACTGTGTATAGTCCTAGGGTACCTACAGATTTATATATTACCATAGTTTACCTGTTCCACACCCCTGGGTATAGTCCTAGGGAAGATCTATTGTATTAAGAGATGCTGTACTTAATCTTTTATAACCTAGTTTTTTGTCTTGTTTTGGGATATCTCCTGTGTTGATTTACTATCTTACCCATTGTGCACCCAAATATCCAGTCTTAGGATACCAATATTTATACTGATCTACTAAATACCATAGGTTACCTGTTACACACCCCCGTGTATAGTCCTAGGATAGCTACAGATTTATATGTTACCCTAGTTTACCTGTTACACACACCTGTGTATAGTCCTAGGCTACTCACAGATTTATATGTTACTATAGTTTACCTGTTACACACACCTGTGTATAGTCCTAGGCTACTCACAGATTTATATGTGACCATAGTCTACCTGTTACTCCCCCCTGTGTATAGTCCTGGGATACCTACAGATTTATATATTACCATAGTTTACCTGTCACACACCCCTGTGTATATTTCTAGGATAACTACAGATTTATATGTTAGCATAGTTTACCTGTTACACCCCCATGTGTATAGTCCTAGGATTCTCACAGATTTATATGTGACCATAGTCTACCTGTTACTCCCCCCTGTGTATAGTCCCAGGATACCTACAGATTTATCTCGTACCATAGTCTACCTGTTAAACACCCCTGGGTATAGTACTAGGATACCTACAGATCTATAAGTTACCATAGTTTACCTGTTAAACACCACTGTGTATAGTCCTAAGATAGCTACAGATTTATATGTTCCCATAGTTTACCTGTTACATGCCCCTGTGTATAGTCCTAGGATACTCACAGATTTATATGTTACCATAGTCTACCTGTTACACACCCCTGGGTATAGTCCTAGGATACCTACAGATTTATATGTTACCATAGTTTACCTGTTACACTCCCCTGTGTATAGTCCTAGGATACCTACAGATTTATATGTTACCATAGTTTACCTGTTACATGCCCCTGTGTATAGTCCTAGGATACCTACAGATTTATATGTTACCATAGTTTACCTGTTACACTCCCCTGTGTTTAGTCCTAGGATACCTACGATTTATATGTTACCATAGTTTACCTGTTACACTCCCCTGTGTATAGTCCTAGGATACTTACAGATCTATGTTACCATAGTTTACCTGTTACATGACCAGGGCGCGTATTCATGAACCCGTTCTCAAGCTCAGGCATGGATTCTGTGCTCAAATCAACTTTCTTGTAACTCACTTAGATCACATCAAATGTAAATATTGAAAACATTATCTAGATTTGAGTCTCTTCAAAGGTTTTCAAAATAGTTGACAAAATGAGATTTTTTATACATTTATAACCTGAACAAGAAATTAGTCTTGAGCACAAATTTGATCCTAATGAGAACGGTTTCATGAATACAGGCCCTGGTGTCTTGTCTAATTACTTGATACATTATTGAAATATTGTTACAGCACAAACAGTTATTAATATATTATTCAGGTTACAGTGTGAAATGAAATCATGATTTGTTTGTTTATATACAAATAGATAAATAGAGTCTGATGGCTCATAACATAAGCTGTTCGGACTAGTTTTGAGGAAGTCTGGGTATCCGTAAAATATAAGTCATTCAAACTAAAAAAATCAATTAAATAAAACATACATATAACATTTCCTTTACTTTTACTATGACATTTTCCAGGGATGCAGAGAGCGAAAGTGAGCGTAACCCCTGGATATCGAGGACGCAGTAATATAAGATTTATTTAAAGTTACTTTCAGCCATAATGTCAGATCTACGAACTAGGTGAACATACCTTTACATCAATGCTAACATTTACAAATATTGACAATGACAATGTTGCAAAATAATAAAACTTGCTGTCATGACATATTTAATTTATTTCACATACAGCACTACAAACATTCATCAGAATCCTCATGAATTATCTGAATGGCAACTTTACTTCTCACACCAAAAGTGATATCTATTCTAGACTAAATCTCTTCATGCTTGTAAACATTGATTTTCACAATTTTGTTTCAATAAACAGATTGATGACAATCTGAGTTCATGAAATGCACAATTGCTAACAGCATTTATACTAACTGCGATACCCAGAGGGAAATTTCCAAAGCCTGAGGGTTTGATTTTGACATTTATACGGTGTACCAACATTTTGAGGGTTGAGATTTCCCTGTCCACATCACAGTTATTATCATCTTCCTACATTTTAAACTTAAAAAACATTTTTTCCTTAAACAAAGTTGAGCCTAAATAGTGCTGCCAATGTCACATATTTGTGTGAAAACTGATGATAAAATCCTATGGCTGATCTCCGTAACATGATATTTGACGATTTCATCCTATTAAATGATTAAGTTTCATAATAAAACAGAATTTGAGCTATCTTTTCTTATCTATCTAGGGAAAATGAATTTAGATTTTTTTTGTGATCTGTGAAGTGTAGGAGGAATATGTAGATCTCTTGCAAAATATTGAACAATACAGGAATGTTTAATTGATTCTCCTTGCAAGTTCATAAAACAAAAAGGACAATTTACTCATAATAGTATGAGAGCTGTCATGGGGTTTTGACGAATTGTGAGACCTGCTCTGTCGTCAAACTACCGTGTATCGAAAAGAGTGTCCTGTACTCAATTTATATCCTTAAATCATGAACTTCTTACACCAATCAACTACATTTACTCCATTGTTGTAAACAAAGCAAAAGTTTTGTAGCCAGTAAAATTAATTTTATAGTGAATTGTCATTCTGAAAACACATCAATAACAATGAATGCAAAAATGACATAAAGTCTTACAGCGGGCTCCAACCAATTTTCACGAATATTTTTTAATAGATTTCAAGCATAATGGATGTTTGCTCAAGTGTCAAAGAAGTGATTACGTTTCTATAAAACTGTCAATAAAAGAATTTCTAAAGATAAGTACTTAAACAAAGAAGAACATTTTAAATTTATAAAATTTGGACCCATTATGGTGTTGTTGTTATAATAATAATAATAATAATAATTCAAGGTTCTTATATACCGCTTTATCACATCCTTGTTCGTAGGTCGTCTCAAAGCGGTTCACAAATTATCATCAGTGGTTATAGGGCCTTTGTAACCAGCCAATATCTTTCTCAACTCCCTAGGGAGCTGCCATTTCGACGCTAACAGCTAGCATTTAACAATTCTAGCACTGCCCAACCACATACTCATATACAGCTGAGTAGACTGGAACAAGCGGAGTAAAGTATCTTGCTCAATGATACAACACAGTGCCTTGCCGTGACTCGAACCCACAACCCTTTGGTCACGAGCCCGGCATCCTACCACTATAGGCTACCGTGCCTCCTATATATTATGTTATGAATGTATATAATGACTGTACAAATTGTGACAGCGTAAAACCTTAGAACCCTTTGATTTGAAACTGGCTCTATCCTGTACCACAAAGTGGCTCTATCCTGTACCACAAAGTGGCTCTATCCTGTACCACAAAGTGGCTCTATCCTGTACCACAAGGAGAAATCATGTATTACCTGGGTAACTAACAGTCCATCTGGAGGAGATTTGGAATCGTATTAAATTGTAACAAGACTGCTTCATTACATCATTTTGGTTGTAATATTATATATCCATTTTTAATGCATAACAAGACATGTCTCAGTTATGCTCAAAATAACATAAATCAGCTGAAACCCATCTTTAATATGAAAAGTTTGCTGATTTTGAAAGACAATGCTCTGTTTACCATTTTCTGGTATCAGGTCATATCCTGACAACAATATCTGTATACAGTAAAAATGTCTTCGGCACAGATCCAGCATGGTCGCATCACTGACTACAGTTAATGTGTGATCACAAACTAGCATAGGCAAAGTCGTAGTTGTCAGGTTCTGGTGGTATAGGTGGTGGTTCAGTGGGTATTGATATTCCTTCTGCATCCAACATCAGGATCTTTATCTCCATGTTTAGAAGTAGTTCCAAATCCTTCTTCTTCTGTTCGCTACCCATCTGAATGAAAAATTGAAGATAGAAATAAAAAAACAAGCATTATTTATCTTATGTGAAACAGCAATACTTACATAAACTTGAAACAGGAGGTCTATGGACCTGTATTATCCACATGCTACATATTTTAATTTCTGAAATTGTTCTGTTTTATTTTGATAATAAAACAGTCCATTATACAATGTACTGTTATTTGCAATGTTCGTCTAATTCCTCTTTACTTTCTCTGAAATTTTAGCACAACTCACTAAAGGACCCATATTCATTATTGAAGAGTTTCCCTTTCGTTTGCATGCAGTACATTAATTCCAATTCCAAAGTACCAAGCCCCCTTAAACTAAAATAGTAAGGGATCCAAGGAGGCCTACATTATTTTTAGCCTGAGTATCACTGTTAATTTTCACCAGACTTAAAGGGAAAGATACAGTGCAATTTGTGTATGTTGGTAATATAAGGAATGTCAATTAAGTTTGACCAAGCCATGATTCAGAGGTCTAGCAAATATACCTAGCAGATGACAGAAACCCCACTGTAGGGATATACCTCATACACCTTGCCAATTACACCAACTCTTAGCACACAGCTGTATATATTTATGAGGATTTCAAAATAAATCTAAAATTAACAGTTTACCACTCAACCTTCACAATCAATACAGATCTATCTAAACCACGTGCAACAAGATTTACGGTAGATGACTCCAATCCAACCCCACATTTTTCAGTTTTCAAGTACACAAGGCCTTAATCCTGGCCTGATAATATCAGATGCTGGGCTACGCCCACCCTAAACGTCACTAAAAAAGTATTTTGACAGTAATAAAGAACTTACCTCTGCACTCTGTAAAATGTTCAGGCCATCCATCCACATGTCAAACTCACACTCATCTTTAGCAACAAAACAGAAAGACTCTGGCGAGTCAGTGGTGGTCGAGGAAGGCTGAATAGCGAACGCTAGAGTGGTGGCGGTCGTCTGTAATGAAAAGGAAAACCTTAATGTAAATCTATTGATGGAGAAAACAAAATGTTTACAAAGTTATATTTTGAAATAAGGCTGTTAGTCTTTTTTTTTTATTTATTTATCCCCAAAAAGAAATATTCTGACCAATGCATTCTCTCTCAAATGACTTCATTACACCCTGAAGGAAAGCTGACTCTTGAATATCTATCATCTATAATGCTGTCAAACAACCTAGTTTTACATTCATTTGTGAAGAAAATAATTCCAATGACGCTAATGCAAGTCTTAAGTAATTATAATATCTCCTTCCATAAGCAATTTTCATATAGATCATTTAAATTATTCAAGTGAGTTTTGGCCACAAATAAAGAGGCTTTATCTCTGATTAGTTAGTGAGACATTTAAAACAGAAATGAAATTGGAAATGTATCACAGTGTATCCTATATACTGTTGTAAAGTCTATGCTTTCTTTGTTAGGACTAAAAAGGGAGATTCATTATTATCACAAGAGGCTTAAGGGCCTTAGCAGTCACCTGAGTTATATTATAGGTACTGGTAGCTCAATTTCATTGTTGACATGTGATGAGGAAATCAACATGTAAACTAAGTGAAATACAATACCCGTCATAGGATAATAATTTCAAAATGTTGGTAAATTTCCCTTAGGGGCCCCACCCTAGTCCCTGGGGCAGGAATCCCAATTTTACAATGTAGTACCCTCATACACCAACAACGATTCTGACCAAGTTCAGGTGACCTTAAAAGGTATATTAAATGACGTTTGTAATTTAACATGGGACAGTGAACAACATCTTTATTTTTAAAAATCACAATCCTCCATTATGACGTCACTACTATATACCCATATTTGTTGGAATAAATGCTATCAAGCAAAACCAATATTTAAGTGGGTTTTTTCTAATTTAAAGGAAAGGGTTATCTTGTTTAGTGTATAAAAGTCCATTTAAAGATCCCTTTCCCACTGCAGACAAAACACTAGAGAGTTCCACAGCACTTGTTCATGCATACAGTAACCTCCCCTTATTTTGTTTTTGATATACTGTAACTATAGAGGGACTAGGCTGGGTACTAATACTAATCAAGTAGCTCAGTAGAGTAACAGAGATCCTAGTCAAGTCATGTTCCTTTACTCTCTGAAAAATTATGTTAATGTTTCTTTTTTTATATAAAGTTCACGTATCTGAGGATAGACCTGCCTGGGTCTCACAAGTCCAAGACAGGCTGGCCAACAGAGATTGAGAATCCTCACGGGAGATATTACTATTACTATTATATGCTTAACGGCCCATCAACACAGGATAGGTGATTTCTGCAAAGTATGGGTTTCTTTTCAGGAGTGATTTATCTTATACATTTTTGTCATGTAGGTTAAAAAAGTTTCAAATTCATAGATGAAGTCTTTTGCAGCGGTACAGGGATTATTAACAAGTAACATGAAAGCAAAATAAAACAAAAATCCAGAGGGATGACCTTATAAATTGATGTAAGAAACAAAACAAATGGAAAAGGAGAGAAAAAATAAAATATGAATATAGTATTATTTTCAGTTAGTGAGTAATTTGCTTAAAAAAATATTAAGTACCGGGTACTTCCATTTTATTTATTATTCTAGAAGCCTATTTATGAATAGAACTGCTGTGTCATGTAATAATTATTTTTGCTAATACTTGCTCCCATAGCTTTGAACACTTCATTAAGAGAATAAATTTTGAACTAAGTGTATATCTGCTTTCTAAGTAAAACATGTTGCAGTTATCAACCGTGTAAATAGCCTACAGCTGCCAAATGGCTGTTTCATGTTTGTTCCCTTTGTCATCACAGAACAATTAGCAGCGGGTTCACACTGGACCATGCATACCTTATTTAACCGTTCCACAGTTCACACAGTGGTGTACATGACACCAAGCAATGTGCAACATTTGCAACCTGTTCAAAGCTTTCACACTTTGAAGAACTGTTAGTTACCAAGGTCAATTTGATTTCATTTCTCCAGTAGAAATATTGACCTCAATTTGTTTTCACCACTCCAAATAAAATTTATGTGGAAAAGGGTCATACACTGTAAGGATGCAACTTAACTGTCAAACATTTTTGTGTGTGTCATGCTCAAATCATTCAATATTGAAATGCAAGAGCTTGTTTTATAATCATTTATAAGTGATGGAGTGAAGATGTTTTCTTTATGAATTCAATAACTAGAAACTTGACTGAAAGATTGTACAAAAATACACACGTTACATTTCCTTAACTTATTCACCCCTGAAGACACAATTGAACTCCCAATTCAAAGGTTGGAATAGTTTATCATGAAATTTCAGGGGGGTGGTTGGGTGGGGGTGTGAGTTAAATAATAATTCCTCATGTGAAAAGTTGATACACAGTTTACATGGATAAATGATAATATATAAAAACATGAATATATTTACTGGACAAGACAATGCATATAACGACTCGACAATTTCAAACTAGACAACAACAATTTATACAAAATTTACTTGCTTGGCATTCAAACAGCAGAGCTTATATTCATATCCTAAATAAATATTTGTATGCTATATGGACAAACACTGAAATCATGCAACAATTTTGCTTCAAATTCAACATGTAAAATTATCTAACTGAAAATTTGGTATGTAGTGAAATATCTTATATCTTTATGTACAGTTTGTGTTTATACATCAAAGTAGTCACCATAAAGCACAACAGACCTCTATCTTTAGTAGAAGTTAATATCGGACACCAATCAACACAAAACAACATGTTATATATGTGAGTAAGGGAACTATTACATTTTAACATTTTTTTTTTTTGTATTTAATTTATGATTGGGTTAATTTTAAAGAAAATACAAAATCTATATTTTGTTATGTTACATGGATCCGGGCATGCTTCAAATGTAGTGGACTACACACTTATAGAAATATAACAGCATCTCCAAAGACATCTCACACACTTACGTGAACTTTTGATTGCTGAAAGCGTACACATATTCAAGCTACAGCAGGGTGATAATATGTACAGTTTGCACCAAATTTTATGTAAAATCTGCTCGTGAACTTTTTCAAGAGTGTCATTTACTTTTACAAAATGTTTTGATTTCCCACACATATTGAATTTCTTTGCTAATTTTGCTCTGCAGCAATAGCATGTAAATATGTTAATAATGTGAACATATTGACACACTAGTCATATTGTACTGAAGTAGGATTACCAAGGCAAACATGTCCACAACACAAAAAGCTGGAAGCATTAAAGCATTAAAACATGAAAATTTTCACATATGTGAATATTTCAACTTAAATAAAATCTATAATTGGGAAAATGTCCCAATCCCTTACAAGTGGCCCTGTCCTTCATCAGGTCTACGCATGCCATCCCTTACAAGTGCCACTGTCCTTCATCAGGTCTAAGAATGCCATCCCTTACAAGTGGCCCTGTCCATCATCAGGTCTAAGCATGCCATCCCTTACAAGCGGCCCTGTCCTTCATCAGGTCTAAGCATGCCATCCCTTACAAGCGGCCCTGTCCTTCATCAGGTCTAATCGTGCCATCCCTTACAAGTGCACCTGTCCTTCATCAGGTCTAAGCATGCCAGCCCTTACAAGTGGCCCTGTCCATCATCAGGTCTAAGCATGCCAGCCCTTACAAGTGGCCCTGTCCTTCGTCAGGTCTAAGCATGCCATCCCTTAAAAGTGCCCCTGTCCTTCCTCAGGTCTAAGCGTGCCCTCCCTTACAAGTGCCCCTGTCTTTTATCATGTCTAAGCGTGCCATCCATTACAAGTGCCCCTGTCCTTCCTCAGGTCTAAGCGTGCCATCCCTTCCAAGTGCCCCTGTCCTTCATCTGGTCTAAGCGTGCCATCCCTTACAAGTTCACCTGGCCTTCATCAGGTCTAAGCATGCCATCCCTTACAAGCGGCCCTGTCCTTCATCAGGTCTACGCATGCCATCCCTTACAAGTGGCCCTGTCCATCATCAGGTCTAAGCATGCCATCCCTTACAAGTACCCCTGTCCTTCATCAGGTCTAATCGTGCCATCCCTTACAAGTGCCCCGGTCCTTCATCATGTCTAAGCGTGCCCTCCCTTACAAGTGCCCCTGTCTTTTATCATGTCTAAGCGTGCCATCCCTTACACGTGCCCCTGTCCTTCATCAGGGCTAAGCATGCCATCCCTTACAAGCGGCCCTGTCCTTCATCAGGTCTACGCATGCCATCCCTTACAAGTGCACCTGTCCTTCATCAGGTCTAAGCTTGCCATCCCTTACAAGTGCCCTTGTCCTCCATCAGGTCTAAGCGTGCCATCCCTTCCAAGTGCCCCTGTCCTTCATCAGCTCTAAGCGTGCCATCCCTTACACGTGCCCCTGTCCTTCATCAGGCCTAAACATGCCATCCCTTCCAAGTGCCCCTGTCCTTCATCTGGTCTAAGCGTGCCATCCCTTCCAAGTGCCCCTGTCCTTCATCTGGTCTAAGCGTGCCATCCCTTCCAAGTGCCCCTGTCCTTCATCCGGTCTAAGCATGCCATCCCTTACAAGTGCACCTGTCCTTCATCAGGTCTAAACGTGCCATCCCTTACAAGTGCACCTGTCCTTCATCAGGTCTAAACGTGCCATCCCTTACAAGTGCCACTGTCCTTCATCCGGTCTAAGCATGCCATCCCTTAAAAGTGCCCCTGTCCTTCCTCAGGTCTAAGCGTGCCCTCCCTTACAAGTGCCCCGGTCCTTCATCATGTCTAAGCGTGCCATCCATTACAAGTGCCCCTGTCCTTCCTCAGGTCTAAGCGTGCCATCCCTAACAAGTAGCTGGAAGCATTAAAGCATTAAAACATGAAAATTTTCACATATGTGAACATTTCAACTTAAATAAAATCTATAATTGCGAAAATGTCCCAATCCCTTACAAGTGGCCCTGTCCATCATCAGGTCTAAGCATGCCAGCCCTTACAAGTGGCCCTGTCCTTCATCAGGGCTAAGCGTGCCATCCCTTACACGTGCCCCTGTCCTTCATCAGGCCTAAACATGCCATCCCTTCCAAGTGCCCCTGTCCTTCATCTGGTCTAAGCGTGCCATCCCTTACACGTGCCCCTGTCCTTCATCAGGCCTAAGAGTGCCATCCCTTACAAGTGCCACTGTCCTTCATCAGGTCTAAGCGTGGCATCCCTTACAAGTGCCCCTGTGCTTCAGCAGGTCTAAGCATGCCATCCCTTAAAAGTGCCCCTGTCCTTCCTCAGGTCTAAGCGTGCCCTCCCTTACAAGTGCCCCTGTCCTTCATCAGGTCTAAGCATGCCATCCGTTACAAGTGCCCCTGTCCTTCATTAGGTCTAAGCGTGCCATCCCTTACAAGTGCCCCTGTCCTTCATCAGGTATAAGCATGCCATCCGTTACAAGTGCCCCTGTCCTTCATCAGGTCTAAGCGTGCCATCCCTTACAAGTGCCCCTGTCCTTCATCAGGTCTAAGCGTGCCATCCCATACAAGTGCCCCTGTCCTTCATCATGTCTAAACGTACCATCCCTTCACCATATATTACCAACTTGCTTAGAAAAATTTCTACCAGAGCTATTATATTAATTTGGAAGAGTCTACAATTATTCTGATTTCCAAAATCCTAACTGTTCAGGGTACTTTGGGTACAGGGTCCAGTGTGATTAATCTGATCATTCTCTTATAATTAATCTGATATTCATTGGAAAACACTGAATATCTTTGATCATTTATGAAGATTTAGTGATGCTATAGCTCAAACAATTAAGTTTATGGATACAAAAGCTTTTATTTCTGGCACATAGAAGTTCTGTTTAGATATACATGTACTTCATATGTGGAAGACAGAATGATTCTCTGAACCTGTTAACAGCTAGCGCGACTCTGCAGCACCCGTAAACAGCTACTCGTAGCTCGTTATCACGCTTCAACTTCTTCTCATAATCTGTTTGACCAATCACAGGAGCTTTGATGACAGGAAATCATTAATCTCTATTTACTCACCGGTCGTGTTCGAGTCTTCTCCTTGACGTGGGGATAATTATATACTCACCGGTCGTGCTTGAGTCTTCTCTTTGATGTGGGTCAATTATACACTCACCGGTCGTGCTCGAGTCTTCTCTTTGACATGGGGACAATTATATACTCACCGGTCGTGCTCGAGTCTTCTCCTTGACGTGGGGATAATTATATACTCACTGGACGTGCTCGAGTCTTCTCCTTGACGTGGGGACAATAATATACTCACCGGTCGTGCTTGAGTCTTCTCCTTGACGTTGGGACAATTATATACTCACCAGTCGTGCTCGAGTCTTCTCCTTGACGTGGGGGCAATTATATACTCACCGGTCGTGCTCGAGTCTTCTCCTTGATGTTGGGACAATTATATACTCACCGGTCGTGCTTGAGTCTTCTCCTTGATGTCGGGACAATTATATACTCACCAGTCGTGCTCGAGTCTTCTCCTTGACGTGGGGACAATTATATACTCACTGGTCGTGCTCGAGTCTTCTCCTTGACGTTGGGACAATAATATACTCACTGGACGTGCTCGAGTCTTCTCCTTGACGTTGGGATAATTATATACTCACCGGTCGTGCTCGAGTCTTCTCCTTGACGTGGGGACAATTATTTACTCACCGGTCGTGCTCGAGTCTTCTCCTTGCAGGGGAAAATTATATACTCACCGGTCGTACTCAAGTCTTCTCCTTGACGTGGGGACAATTATATACTCTCCGGTCGTGCTCGAGTCTTTTCCTTGACGTGGGGATAATTATATACTCACCCGTCGTGCTCGAGTCTTTTCCTTGACGTGGGGGCAATTATATACTCACCGGTCGTGCTCGAGTCTTCTCCTTGCAGGGGAAAATTATATACTCACCGGTCGTACTCAAGTCTTCTCCTTGACGTGGGGACAATTATATACTCTCCGGTCGTGCTCGAGTCTTTTCCTTGACGTGGGGACAATTATATACTCCCCGGTCGTGCTCAAATCTTTTCCTTGACGTGGGGACAATTATATCCTCCCCGGTCGTGCTCGAGTCTTTTCCTTGACATGGGGACAATTATACACTCACCGGTCGTGCTCGAGTCTTCTCCTTGACGTTGGGATAATTATATACTCCCCGGTCGTGCTCGAGTCTTCTCCTTGATGTTGGGACAATTATATACTCACCGGTCGTGCTCGAGTCTTTTCCTTGACGTGGGGACAATTATATACTCACCGGTCGTGCTCAAATCTATTCCTTGACGTGGGGACAATTATATACTCACCGGTCGTGCTCGAGTCTTTTCCTTGACATGGGGACAATTATACACTCACCGGTCGTGCTCGAGTCTTCTCCTTGACGTGGGGACAATTATATACTCACCGGTCGTGCTCGAGTCTTCTCCTTGCAGGGGAAAATTATATACTCACCGGTCGTACTCAAGTCTTCTCCTTGACGTGGGGACAATTATATACTCACCAGTCGTGCTCGAGTCTTCTCCTTGATGTCGGGACAATTATATACTCACCGGTCATGCTCAAGTCTTTTCCTTGATGTGGGGACAATTATATACTCACTGGTCGTGCTCGAGTCTTCTCTTTGACGTGGGGACAATTATATACTCACCGGTCGTGCTCGAGTCTTTTCCTTGATGTGGGGACAATTGTTTACTCACTGGTCGTGCTCGAGTCTTTTCCTTGACGTGGGGACAATTATATACTCACCGGTCGTGCTCGAGTCTTCTCCTTGACGTGGGGATAATAATATACTCACCGGTCTTGCTCGAGTCTTCTCCTTGATGTTGGGACAATTATATACTCACTGGTCGTGCTCGAGTCTTCTCTTTGACGTGGGGACAATTATATACTCACCGGTCGTGCTTTAGTCTTCTCCTTGACGTGGGGACAATTATGTTCTCACTGGTCGTGCTCGAGTCTTCTCTTTGATGTGGGGACAATTATATACTCACCGGTCGTGCTTTAGTCTTCTCCTTGACGTGGGGACAATCTTTCCCTTTGATGATACTTTTTATCTCACTCACAGGCACTGAATAATCAAGGAATTGTCAACATTTTAACAAATTCAACATTCAAAAAGTAACTGTTTTTAAAGATATTGTAGTAGGGAATCATAAAGACATGTATAAGGTATATAGTTTTACTATATAATGCACTTATTTTATTCTATATTTACTCAAATCAAGGACTTTCTGCTCACCTACAATTTACCCAAATGAAAGATGCAAGATACTAAATTGCATGGATTATAAATGATCATGTGACACTGCATTATAACTTTTTGTTGCATGGTTACGTGATAAATATAGGCACAATCACATGTCACATTACCGTTTTTCAAAGCAAAATTTATTTCACGTGTTCAATTGTGAGTGACTGCATAGTTGTTTTATGTCGTCTGGCTGTCAAAATGCCAGGCAAAACACACAAAATGTATCCATATTCACTGAGGATTTTCAAATCCTACATGTCAGGAAAACGGATATCTGATATTGACTCCAGATTCAGCAAATTGCATGTAATTCATTGAAGTTTAACTTGAGAAAGTCTCTTGATAAATTATATAAAATATTTATTATGTCTTCCTACAGTAAAGTCCAAAACATTTTGGGGACTTTGCCCCTCTGTCTGACGGTAAAGTTAAAAAACATTTGCCCCTCTGTCCGATGGTATAGTCAAAAACATTTGCCCCTTAGTCTAACGGAATAGTCTAATAAAATATATTACCTGTAACTGAGCGAGATCGGTTGATCTCAGTCGAGGGCTTAGATTGTGTAACATAATCCCAACCGAGGCTGGAATCTTAGCCCGATCTCGCTCAGTTACATACAGGTGATAGGTTTTTTTCTTGCACCTTTTAGTTTGAAAAACTATTCAATTTTGTTTAAGACTTCAAGTATCCCGTCTGGGGCCTCAACTTAATATGGCCTCTTCACTACAAAAGCTACATTTAAATGCTTCCGCATATAAATCTAGTTGGTCTTTACAACAAAGTCAACGTGTTTTAAAGTGTAACTTATGTTTTATCTACAACATCAGATATCTAACTACATAATGTACATCAAAACAAAACATTTAACGACAAAACAGAATATGTATAATGCAGATTGTCAATTTTGACCCATTTACCTGCGGAGGAATATTTCGCAGTGTAAAAATTCTGCGAAATGTCACGTAAAGGTACAAGACAGATCGAAAGAGATAGAAAAATCTAGCATGGGGTATGACATAGGATATCTCTGTCTGAGGTGCGAGAAAAACACATCTGCCCCTCTGTGCTAGAAGTTGACGATGTATCATATCAAACTTGGCCAGTGGCTTGGTGCAATAAGCTATTCCGTCTTTTCGTATTGCAGAGTTATCTTCTCTTGTGAGCAGGTATTTATTGTTACGTCATTTGTTTGTGAGAGTAACGTCATCAATTTTTGAGAAAACAAGGTAATTTTCACACACACACAAATGACGTAACAATCAATCCCTGCTCACAAGAGAAGATAACTCTGCATTAAACAAAGACGGAATAACACCTCCTGTCAAGTATTTCTGACTATTCTGTCTATACCAGTCAACCAAATAACAGTATAAAATATTAAGTTACGGGAGAAACTTTACTTCCTGTTTCTTTTAAGAATTTTAGCAACAGGAGTAGTAATTTACAATTGACAGTGAATTGCAAACATATCCCATGATTATTGATAAAAATATATTCAAACTTTCACATTCTCACATTCTAGTGAAATAAATGACTTGAAGTAAGATGATTAAAATAGATAAATGGGAAAACAGTTTACATTTAAAAGACTGATTTCTTTATTAGCACTCGGCATCCAGAGAAGTAATTTCCATAAAAACATTATGGTAAGAGCTGGGTACAGACTTACGTTTGTTTGGCATGTGGTCAAGTGTGGGGATGTCACCCTCACCACAGTCAGCGTAGTGGAAACACTTATGGTTGGGGGACAGACGCCAACACCACATCTTGTCTGTAGAACACACAATACACTCAATAAAATTTCATAAAGCAGTATTAACCTTATAACATTCAATAGAATTTCAATTTTTCATGATTTTAATACTCATATGTCTATTGTAAAATATTTGTTTATGTAGTGAATTCAATGACATAATAATTCCATAATTACAAATTCAAACCTGACTCAATTCAGTATCTGTATTATATCACTTTTACTTTGGTATTTCTTAGCCATAATATTTGTTGCACACAACAAGAAAATGTTGGAAACTTTCATCGGGGTAAAGCGTTCAAAGATGATATCAGGGGTAAACTGTTCAGTAACTGATCGAGCTTAAGAAGTCACTAAAGAAAATTTGATTTTTGATTTTGAGTGTTGTTAAGCTAACCAGACTTGAACAAATTGGTGAGCATTATGTTGGTTTAAAGGAAATAAAGTAAAAGTCTTACTTGGCGGTCCCTTATCTTCGCAGATTTGTTGAAAAAGTCAATTACATAGGGTCTATTTTTCTCAGATTTCAGGTCTATGGTCACACAATAAAGATGAATTAAATTCCAACTAATTTTGCAGGTTGCAATTTTCTCAGGAAATGTGTTACCATGAAAATGAGAACCCTGTTCACTGTTACCTGTGTAGGACTTACTCAATCCTCACCTTTATTTTTACCCTTTATGTTGTACTTGTGGAACCTGGTACCCTCCATTAGGTAGTTTAGACGCTGCTGTTTTATCAGATCCAATATGCAGGGTGTTATTTCCTGACGCAGCTCACTGTTAGAACACAAGCATCAACATTCTATCATTGAAATAAGATGAATAAAATACAAAGTGTACCAAATAATAAAAAAACTCTTCACAAAATTTCATTTTCTGAAGGAATGAGATTGAAGTATTCCTTTTATTTTTATAAAAAAGATTAGACTCATAAACTACTTGCAAACTATAGGTCAATTGAAAGCATACCTCTTGTTTCGGTTAATTTTACTGTGTTACATGTAACAAAGTGCAAAAGACAGATCCAATTTTAATTAGATTGGGCATGTGTGTTTCATGTAGGGCATGTGTCTTTCAGGTAGGGCCTGTGTCTTTCATGTAGGGCCTGTGTCTTTTAGGTAAGGCTGGTGACTAACATGTAGGGCCTATGTCTTTTATGTAGGGCTGGTGACTAACATGTAGGGCTTGTGACTAACATGTAGGGCTTGTGACTTACATGTAGGGCATGTGACTTACATGTAGGGCCTGTGACTTACATGTAGGACCTGTGACTTACATGTAGGGCTTGTGACTTATATATAGATCATGTTCTGCCACTTACATGTAGGGCTTGTTCTGCCACTTACATGTAGGGCCTGTGACTAACATGTAGGGCTTGTGACTAACTTGTAGGGTTTGTGACTTACATGTAGGGCCTGTGACTTGCATGTAGGGCTTGTGACTTAAATGAAGGGCTTGTTCTGCCACTTACATGTAGGGCTTGTTCTGTGACTTACCTGAAGGGCTTGTTCTGTGACTTACCTGTAGAGCTTGTTCTGCGACTTACATGTAGGGCTCGTTCTGCGACATACATGTAGGGACTACCAATTACATGTAGGGCTTGTTCTGTGACTTACCTGTAGGGCCTGTTCTGTGACTTACCTGTAGGGCTTGTTCTGTGACTTACATGTAGGGGTTGTTCTGTGACTTACATGTAGGGCTTGTTATGTGACTTACCTGTAGGGCTTGTTCTGTAACTTACATGTAGGGCTTGTTCTGTGACTTACCTGTAGGGCTTGTTCTGTGACTTAACTCTAGGGCTTGTTCTGTGACTTACCTGTAGGGCTTGTTCTGTAACTTACATGTAGGGCTTGTTCTGTGACTTACCTGTAGGGCTTGTTCTGTGACTTACATGTCGGGCTTGTTCTGTGAGTTACATTTAGGGCTTGTTCTGTGAGTTACATGTAGGGCTTGTTCTGTGACTTACCTGTAGGGCTTGTTCTGTGACTTACATGTAGGTCTTGTTCTGTGACTTACATGTAGGGCTTGTTCTGTGACTTACATGTAGGGCTTGTTCTGCCACTTACATGTAGGGCTTGTTCTGTGACTTACATGTAGTGCTTGTTCTGCGACTTACATGTAGGGACTACCACTTACATATAGGGACTACCACTTACATGTATGGACTACCACATGTAGGGCTTGTTCTGTGACTTACCTAGGCCTGTAGGGCTTGTTCTGCCACTTGCATGTAGGGTTTGTTCTGTGACTTGCCTGTAGGGCTTGTTCTGCCACTTACATGAAGGACTCGTACTGTGACTTACCTGTAGGGCTTGTTCTGCGACCAAGATGTAGAGCTTGTTCTGTGACTTACCTGTAGGGCTTGTTCTGCGACTTACATGTAGGGACTACCACTATAGGGACTACCACTTACATTTAGGTACTACCACTTACATGGTGACTTGCCTGTAGAGCTTGTTCTGTGACTTACCTGTAGGGCTTGTTCTGTGACTTACCTGTAGGACTTGTTCTGAGACTTACATATAGGGACTACCACTTACATGTATGGCTTGTTCTGTGACTTACCTGTAGGGCTTGTTCTGTGATTTACATGTAGGGCCTGTTCTGAGACTTACATGTAGGGCTTGTTCTGTGACTTACCTGTAGTGCTTGTTCTGCGACTTACATGTAGGGCTTGTTCTGTGACTTACATGTAGTGCTTGTTCTGCGACTTACATGTAGGGACTACCACTTACATATAGGGACTACCACTTACATGAAGGGACTACCACTTACATGTAGGGACTACCACTTACATGTAGGGACTACCACTTACATGTAGGGACTACCACTTACATGTAGGGACTACCACTTACATGTAGGGACTACCACTTACATGTAGGGACTACCACTTACATGTAGGGACTACCACTTACATGTAGGGACTACCACTTACATGTAGGGACTACCACTTACATGTAGGGACTACCACTTACATGTAGGGACTACCACTTACATGTAGGGACTACCACTTACATGTAGGGACTACCACTTACATGTAGGGACTACCACTTACATGTAGGGACTACCACTTACATGTAGGGACTACCACTTACATGTAGGGACTACCACTTACATGTAGGGACTACCACTTACATGTAGGGACTACCACTTACATGTAGGGACTACCACTTACATGTAGGGACTACCACTTACATGTAGGGACTACCACTTACATGTAGGGACTACCACTTACATGTAGGGACTACCACTTACATGTAGGGACTACCACTTACATGTAGGGACTACCACTTACATGTAGGGACTACCACTTACATGTAGGGACTACCACTTACATGTAGGGACTACCACTTACATGTAGGGACTACCACTTACATGTAGGGACTACCACTTACATGTAGGGACTACCACTTACATGTAGGGACTACCACTTACATGTAGGGACTACCACTTACATGTAGGGACTACCACTTACATGTAGGGACTACCACTTACATGTAGGGACTACCACTTACATGTAGGGACTACCACTTACATGTAGGGACTACCACTTACATGTAGGGACTACCACTTACATGTAGGGACTACCACTTACATGTAGGGACTACCACTTACATGTAGGGACTACCACTTACATGTAGGGACTACCACTTACATGTAGGGACTACCACTTACATGTAGGGACTACCACTTACATGTAGGGACTACCACTTACATGTAGGGACTACCACTTACATGTAGGGACTACCACTTACATGTAGGGACTACCACTTACATGTAGGGACTACCACTTACATGTAGGGACTACCACTTACATGTAGGGACTACCACTTACATGTAGGGACTACCACTTACATGTAGGGACTACCACTTACATGTAGGGACTACCACTTACATGTAGGGACTACCACTTACATGTAGGGACTACCACTTACATGTAGGGACTACCACTTACATGTAGGGACTACCACTTACATGTAGGGACTACCACTTACATGTAGGGACTACCACTTACATGTAGGGACTACCACTTACATGTAGGGACTACCACTTACATGTAGGGACTACCACTTACATGTAGGGACTACCACTTACATGTAGGGACTACCACTTACATGTAGGGACTACCACTTACATGTAGGGACTACCACTTACATGTAGGGACTACCACTTACATGTAGGGACTACCACTTACATGTAGGGACTACCACTTACATGTAGGGACTACCACTTACATGTAGGGACTACCACTTACATGTAGGGACTACCACTTACATGTAGGGACTACCACTTACATGTAGGGACTACCACTTACATGTAGGGACTACCACTTACATGTAGGGACTACCACTTACATGTAGGGACTACCACTTACATGTAGGGACTACCACTTACATGTAGGGACTACCACTTACATGTAGGGACTACCACTTACATGTAGGGACTACCACTTACATGTAGGGACTACCACTTACATGTAGGGACTACCACTTACATGTAGGGACTACCACTTACATGTAGGGACTACCACTTACATGTAGGGACTACCACTTACATGTAGGGACTACCACTTACATGTAGGGACTACCACTTACATGTAGGGACTACCACTTACATGTAGGGACTACCACTTACATGTAGGGACTACCACTTACATGTAGGGACTACCACTTACATGTAGGGCTTGTTCTGCCACTTGCATGTAGGGCTTGTTCTGCCACTTGCATGTAGGGCTTGTTCTGTGACTTGCCTGTAGGGCTTGTTCTGCCACTTACATGTAGGGCTTGTTCTGGGACTTACATGGTAAGGCTTGTCATGCGACTTACACAATGGGCATGGTATGGGGCTCACAAGGCCTGACCTTACCATAATGGACATGAACCATGACAAGATGGGTATAGACAGTGACTGCATTAAAAGTCTAGTCTCAGACTTTTGTTAAAGGACATGTCTATCCTGGTACTTACATTATCGGTATAGCTTGGGACTCCCACTCTTCCTTGGACAGACGCTCTCTCTCCCATAGGTTAATTATCTCGTCGTATGTGAGTTGATTAAGCCGAGACCTGAATGTCTCCAATGAGGTGGGCTGCATGTCCAGAGCACGCCCAATCTGTTCCCTCACCACGCCCAACACCTGAAAAAATATAACAAATTAATGGCTTCTCAAGGAGATTCAGCTTCGTTACTCACTATTTCCACTATGTTTTCAAGTTTTCATTTTCGACACAATATTCATGTAAAATGAGGCTATATCTGGAACGGTTGTCCTCTTATTTTGAACTTCTGCAGCAGACTGATCTTAATCCCTGTTAACCCCACCCATCACAGAAATCTTATGTTACTGACTCCCTTAAACGCCATCTTTAATCTGTATCAATCATAGCTGTTAATGTATCTACGGCGTTATTATCGGTGTACTCTGCTGTACATTCTTTGCTGTTATCTAGAGTATAGATATGGCCACTAGGAGATAATAACACTGTAGATAAATACATTAATATCTCATTAATGCCTGATAGATACATTAATATTCTCCTGAATTTGTACTGTAGTGCACTGTATATATTTTTTAACTGATAAGTCAGAAAATCTTGATAAGTATTTTGATACTCAGAAATCTCCAATTGGCCATCCTGATAGTCTAGATAACAGCAATGGATGTAGATCAAGGTGTTCTGACTTATCAGTTAAAACAGATATACAGAGCACTACAGTACAAATTCAGGAGAATACCGACGGGTGGGTAAGATATCGTATCATAACGACATTACAGCAGTGGTTAAAGTAGCAGAGATTTCTTTTTGTACTACATGGTTGTATATGTATATTTCCTGTTCTAATTCCTGATATATTGTTACTGTTAAGTAGTTGGGAAAATCAAAACATGCCAGCATGATTTACAACTAATATCTTCTGATCAATTTATATCTTATCTCAGCCTAACAAGGGAAAATGTTCTAAATTAAAAGTACTTTTGCAAATATTTCCATATATGGAGTCTCCTTGGCTTAAGAACGTTTCAGACTAAATGAAACTTTATATTACTTTATCCCAGCATGTTACTGATCAAATATCATCACACAGAGCCTCCTGGTATTGTGGATGAAGTTGTTTCAAGATTTTTACATATTTGATCCTCGTGACCTTGAAAGTAGGTCAAGTTCATTTATTTGAGGAAATGTATAGCACTGTCCCAGCTACTTACTAGCCAAGTATCAGTACTCTGGGCCTCCTGGTTATTCAGAAGAAGATGTTTAAAGGTTTTAAACACATATGACACTTCTGGTCTTTAAAGTAGGTCAAGGTCATTTATTTAAAATTTAGCTAAAAATGAATGGGTGATTTATTTGGTCCTGTCTTTTACCTTCATAGGGAAAGACAGCTCTCACTATCAGGTCAACCTCTTATTCAGTGCAATTACTCCTAGAGTTGGTAGAGAAATCCTAACCTGAGGGTAAGACTTTGAAGTTTAGTACAAGGCTTTAGAGTGATGGAATCTATTAATCTCCAAGCTGGTCTTTCTGAGCTAAAACAGGAGACACACCTGTGAAGGGTAGGAGAAAGTTATCCTGTTTGTCTTACGAAACCCTATGTATGATGCCCTACCTTCTGGAAGTCCTCAGTGGAGGCCCTCATCTCACGCCAAGTTTTGTTGAGTAGCTGAATACATATACAGAAGAACTCTTGGAATGGCTCTTCATGGCCAAAGAACATCGGATGGTACTTCTCTCCCTCCTCCCGTGCTGTAATGTACAAATAAAATAGATTAGCAATAATCACAATACATCAACTCCGTCCTTGCTCTTACTTTCTCAAGTGTACAAACACTATAGACAGCATCAGCATGCAAATTAAATCCATAGCCCAGGTCTATAATAATATTGTTAAAATAGCTCAGTTTTATGCTGAATTATGATAAATAAATGGCAATGGTAGTAAATCCTTGGTAGTCTAGTGGTAGGAAGCAGGGCTTGTGACCGAAGGGTTGCGGGTTCGAGTCACAGTATAGCACTGTGTTGTTTCTTTGAGCAAGATACTTAACTCAACTAGTCTACTCAGCTGTAACTGAGTAGGTGGTTGGGCAGTTTTAGAATTGTAGAATGCTAGCTGTGAACGCCGAAATGGCAGCACCGGCTGTATGCTCCTCATGGGTATGATAAAGATATTGGCCGGTTGCAATTTTTTTTATCTATCAATGGTAGTATGCTATTATCACTTCTAATTTATCTCACCACACTGCAACAATACCCCAGATCAATGTCGAGTGAACACACATACTGAAGAATAAACACTTGGAGGATACATGGACAGACCAACAAACTTATTACACACTTTGAGGATACATGGACAGAACAACAAACTTATTACAAATCTGGAAGATACATGGACAGAACAACAAACTTATTACACACCTGGAAGATACATGGACAGAACAACAAACTTATTACACACTTTGAGAGGATACATGGACAGAACAACAAACTTATTACACACCTGGAAGATACATGGACAGAACAACAAACTTATTACACACCTGGAAGATACATGGACAGAACAACAAACTTATTACACACCTGGAAGATACATGGACAGAACAACAAACTTATTACACACCTGGAAGATACATGGACAGAACAACAAACTTATTACACACCTGGAAGATACATGGACAGAACAACAAACTTATTACACACCTGGAAGATACATGGACAGAACAACAAACTTATTACACACCTGGAAGATACATGGACAGAACAACAAACTTATTACACACCTGGAAGATACATGGACAGAACAACAAACTTATTACACACCTGGAAGATACATGGACAGAACAACAAACTTATTACACACCTGGAAGATACATGGACAGAACAACAAACTTATTACACACCTGGAAGATACATGGACAGAACAACAAACTTATTACACACCTGGAAGATACATGGACAGAACAACAAACTTATTACACACCTGGAAGATACATGGACAGAACAACAAACTTATTACACACCTGGAAGATACATGGACAGAACAACAAACTTATTACACACCTGGAAGATACATGGACAGAACAACAAACTTATTACACACCTGGAAGATACATGGACAGAACAACAAACTTATTACACACCTGGAAGATACATGGACAGAACAACAAACTTATTACACACCTGGAAGATACATGGACAGAACAACAAACTTATTACACACCTGGAAGATACATGGACAGAACAACAAACTTATTACACACCTGGAAGATACATGGACAGAACAACAAACTTATTACACACCTGGAAGATACATGGACAGAACAACAAACTTATTACACACCTGGAAGATACATGGACAGAACAACAAACTTATTACACACCTGGAAGATACATGGACAGAACAACAAACTTATTACACACCTGGAAGATACATGGACAGAACAACAAACTTATTACACACCTGGAAGATACATGGACAGAACAACAAACTTATTACACACCTGGAAGATACATGGACAGAACAACAAACTTATTACACACCTGGAAGATACATGGACAGAACAACAAACTTATTACACACCTGGAAGATACATGGACAGAACAACAAACTTATTACACACCTGGAAGATACATGGACAGAACAACAAACTTATTACACACCTGGAAGATACATGGACAGAACAACAAACTTATTACACACCTGGAAGATACATGGACAGAACAACAAACTTATTACACACCTGGAAGATACATGGACAGAACAACAAACTTATTACACACCTGGAAGATACATGGACAGAACAACAAACTTATTACACACCTGGAAGATACATGGACAGAACAACAAACTTATTACACACCTGGAAGATACATGGACAGAACAACAAACTTATTACACACCTGGAAGATACATGGACAGAACAACAAACTTATTACACACCTGGAAGATACATGGACAGAACAACAAACTTATTACACACCTGGAAGATACATGGACAGAACAACAAACTTATTACACACCTGGAAGATACATGGACAGAACAACAAACTTATTACACACCTGGAAGATACATGGACAGAACAACAAACTTATTACACACCTGGAAGATACATGGACAGAACAACAAACTTATTACACACCTGGAAGATACATGGACAGAACAACAAACTTATTACACACCTGGAAGATACATGGACAGAACAACAAACTTATTACACACCTGGAAGATACATGGACAGAACAACAAACTTATTACACACCTGGAAGATACATGGACAGAACAACAAACTTATTACACACCTGGAAGATACATGGACAGAACAACAAACTTATTACACACCTGGAAGATACATGGACAGAACAACAAACTTATTACACACCTGGAAGATACATGGACAGAACAACAAACTTATTACACACCTGGAAGATACATGGACAGAACAACAAACTTATTACACACCTGGAAGATACATGGACAGAACAACAAACTTATTACACACCTGGAAGATACATGGACAGAACAACAAACTTATTACACACCTGGAAGATACATGGACAGAACAACAAACTTATTACACACCTGGAAGATACATGGACAGAACAACAAACTTATTACACACCTGGAAGATACATGGACAGAACAACAAACTTATTACACACCTGGAAGATACATGGACAGAACAACAAACTTATTACACACCTGGAAGATACATGGACAGAACAACAAACTTATTACACACCTGGAAGATACATGGACAGAACAACAAACTTATTACACACCTGGAAGATACATGGACAGAACAACAAACTTATTACACACCTGGAAGATACATGGACAGAACAACAAACTTATTACACACCTGGAAGATACATGGACAGAACAACAAACTTATTACACACCTGGAAGATACATGGACAGAACAACAAACTTATTACACACCTGGAAGATACATGGACAGAACAACAAACTTATTACACACCTGGAAGATACATGGACAGAACAACAAACTTATTACACACCTGGAAGATACATGGACAGAACAACAAACTTATTACACACCTGGAAGATACATGGACAGAACAACAAACTTATTACACACCTGGAAGATACATGGACAGAACAACAAACTTATTACATACCTGGAGGATACATGGACAGAACAACAAACTTATTACACACCTGGAAGATACATGGACAGAACAACAAACTTATTAAACACCTGGAGGATAAGAAATGTACTGTTAATATAACAATTCGGAGGATAACATGAACAAAAGAAAGCACAAGACTTACGTGGTTCTCCTATCTTCAGGATTTCACAAAGTATCCGTGTAAGCATGATGCTTGCTTTTATAAATGGACAGTCATGCTCATCAGGACGACTTGAGTTTTCAAGGACTACCTGTAAATAGACACGGGTCTAAAGAATACATCTACTGTAAAGTGGAATATTACAGTCACTATGGTAATTAACACTTATTAGCAGAAGTGGGTAGTCAGATAAATTACCTTGTGCTATGAAAGCACCACATATTAAGAGGGCCTTATGGTGGTGATGTGCAACAGGCAAGAACTCTTTAATATAATACTGTATACGTTTATTATTAGAGGATCAGTCTGCATGCATATGTAGCCTGCACTCATGACCCACTGGTAGCTTCCCTAGACCTATTTATACATCTATACAGTATGCCTCTACACAAAATATAGGACATAGCTAGGGAAAGTCAACCTTTGTCTACTGTAACCACGTAAATTAGGACCCTGACCTTCAGACTGCATTACTGTAAAACCTCTATATAAGCCCCCTGTTTCATTTGCCAACTCGTTTATTGCCAACATATTTCAATGTCCTTTTTTTCCCTTTTTTTTTAAAAAGAATTCCTTTATAAATCTCTTTCAGTTTATCGCCAAACCCCTTTATAATGCCAAACTTTCTCTGGACAAATGGTGGCAGTATAACAAGGTTTCACTGTACTTTCACCCGATGTGAACAAGAACAGTCACAGTTTTCGAAACAATAGAAATTTACCATTGAACAGAAGGCATTATAAAAAATGTACATATTTGTAACATAAAATAATGGAAAGTGTTATGACCTTCACATAATTTTCTTGGTGTTTTTCAGCAAAATAGGCAATATTGTCCAGAGCTAAAATTCCTGGGGGGGTGTTCTTGGCAAAGTCCTGGGCAGGTGTAGCCAGATCCTGAAGATACACATCATATATATTAGGTCCTGAAGAAACACATCATATATATTAGGTCATGAAGAAACACATCATATATATTAGGTCCTGAAGAAACACATCATATATATTAGGTCCTGAAGAAACACATCATATATATTAGGTCCTGAAGAAACACATCATATATATTAGGTCCTGAAGAAACACATCATATATATTAGGTCCTGAAGAAACACATCATATATATTAGGTCCTGAAGAAACACATCATATATATTAGGTCCTGAAGAAACACATCATATATATTAGGTCCTGAAGAAACACATCATATATATTAGGTCCTGAAGAAACACATCATATATATTAGGTCCTGAAGAAACACATCATATATATTAGGTCCTGAAGAAACACATCATATATATTAGGTCCTGAAGAAACACATCATATATAATAGGTCCTGAAAAAATGCATCATATATATTAGGTCCTGAAGAAACACAACATATATATTAGGTCCTAAGTGGTTATGAATCATTGGTCATTAATACAGTATGGCTTCAAAACATTTAATCATGTCATTGGTTGTCAATTATTAGCCAATCTCAATCGAGGAACAGCACGTAACCTCAGAAAATATTTATCAATTACCCTGCCTCCCAATTAAGCCTCAATATTTTTATGATTATAATGTCTGATGAATTGGTTTTTATCCACAAGAGGACAAATATAGAAAGCCTTGCAGAAAATGGTATCCATCGCATTTGGCTTTTGAAGAATTGATTTTTGTTTACCTACAGTATTTGAACGTTCTGATTCCAAACAACGTTTTTCTATGTATTTATTGATTTCTTTTAATCTAATGGATGTCTCTTTATATTTATACATGTCAGCCACTCGATGTCAAAGTAAACATTTCTGGGAGAAAACCTCACCTCAAAGCCTAATTTTCTATACAGGTTAGACTTGCGTGTCCCCGGCTGGTTGGAGTCGCTGTCAATGGCTATAGCTGTTGGCCTCAGTGTCTCAATGTTCTTTATTACCATCTGCAGTAAAAACAGTTAAAACTTTATTATCACTGCTTGGCTAGTGGTATCAGTGACAATGGCCCATGTGGATTTCTTTAGAGATTAAGGGATAAACAAGCATACTTCTCTCTGTTTCCTGCCTCAAATCTTACACATCAAAATAAACATTAACACTGCACTAATGGTACATGAAATTTACTGATGAAGAGCAAAAGTTTTGATTGTGAAGCATTAAAGGGTGATTGTTTAACCAAAGTAGGGCAAATGTTGTACAGGTGAAAGGTGGATGTTTTATGGTATAGGGGGAATGTTTCACTTTGAGAAAATCACCTGGTACACAGAATTTTATTCTTAAAGTTAGTGACACTGTCCTGACACATATAAAATGTGCAAACATATATAGTGGGTACAAACAATATCCTTGCTATCACAAAATCAAGGTACAATGTTACACAGCTCACTGTAACTTTAGAGAGATAACCAATTGCAATGGACCCATGTGGCAGGGTTGTAATGCGTTACCTGGTCCTGGGGGTCGGCAGGAGTATTCATACGGTCCTCAAACATACTCAGCATCAGTGTCTGTAGAACGTACAGGTGATGAGCCATGTCACTTCCAGGGACACGCCCACTCCCGATCACATACTGAAACCCAACACAAACCTTAAAGCTTTTATCTAAAACCAAGATGCATAAAATCAGTATTGTTGCAACATCAGGTTTAACTTTAAGCTAATACAGCCAAACTGGGTAACAGTTATCTCAAGTATTACATAAACCTTTCAGACATTTTCAGAATTCGTAATCCATTTCCATTTGTTTTATTTCAGTTGTATCAAATACTTCATTTATGTATTTTTTAATGGACTTAATAACTTCAATGTAAGAGATTTTGGCTTCTGATCAAATGAAGTTATAAAGAATAATCCAATAAAATCCTTTTCTATGATTACCCTTCCATGTCTGATCCATGATGAGATAGAGGTGTGGGGCCCATACAAATATACAAGGAATATATCTGCATGTATGACAATACCAAAATATCCACACCTTCCTACAAATGAGTTGGACATTAATCCAACCACAACTGATCATTTTGTCCCGTGATCTACTCACAACTACTCTGGTCATCCCAGTGTCCAGTCCCTACTAAATATGGCTAGTTTATTTTGTCCCGTGATCTACTCACAACTACTCTGGTCATCCCAGTGTCCAGTCACTACTACATATGGCTAGTTTCTCAATCAAACTACCACCAATCTGGTTTTCCTGACCCATGATTTACTCATAACTAGTCTGGTTATCCAATTTTCCAGTCAACACAAAGTGGATCTACTATGTACCTATTTCTACCCTACTTCTATTTCAGTCGACTTACATGGCCTTATCTATTGAAGCAATTTCCTGTAACTTATCAATTTTTGTTTAACTTATTGCAGAAAGAAATTGAACACCAGAGCCCTGTTTTTTCTGTTGAGCGACATTTTCTTTCTTCACCTTGACTTACCGTGGAAATAATATTCCTAAATCTCTTAGATTGAATTATCGTGGAAATTATATTCCTAAATCTCTTAGATTGACTTACCGTGGAAATAATATTCCTAAATCTCTTAGATTGACTTATCGTGGAAATTATATTCCTGAATCTCTTAGATTGACTTACCGTGGAAATTATATTCCTTAATCTCTTAGATTGACTTGCCGTGGAAATTATATTCTTTAATCTCTTAGATTGACTTTCCGTGGAAATTATATTACTTAATCTCTTAGATTGACTTACCGTGGGAATTATATTCCTAAATCCCTTAGATTGACTTACCGTGGGAATTATATTCCTAAATCCCTTAGATTGACTTACCGTGGAAACTATATTCCTAAATCTATTAGATTGACTTACCGTGGAAATTATATTCCTAAATCTATTAGATTGACTTACCGTGGAAATGATATTCCTAAATCTCTTAGATTGCACCAGTTTTGAAATTTCCTACAAACAAAAAAGTAATTAGTATAATATCACTCTCTTTTTTTACAAAGCATATAACAAACATAGTTCAGATACAAATCAGCTCTGATGACTAGAGTAAATTCCAAACTAAAGAATTGTATTACCAGGAAGACATCCACTTTCAAAATAACTGTACACAAAAAGAATACTTTTCAGTTTTGAAAAGACTAAGCTTAATACATATACCATAGAAGTAGGAGATTCTTCAGACACAGTGATTATTTGTATAGTTTTTACTTTTAATTGAAAATTTTGTAGTCCTTACTAAAATATTTTAATTTCACATCATACCTTCTTTTTCACGGGATTAGCCTTTGAAAACAAAGCATTTAGGAGAGCCATGGAGTTTTTCTGCAGCTCAGGCCTTAAATAAAAGATAATTTAAAATTAGTTATACGTTTATTTTAAGAAGGATAAATGTTAATTCTGTGTTTGTATACCTGCGGCTCAGTAACATGGTGATGTCCTACACAAAAAGTTTCAGCGATACAATACAAAGTTTAACAAGCCATTCTAAGTCCTTAACCTTCAGAAGCATAAATGTTATGAAAGAACAAAGGGCCATAACTCTGTACACATTAGTTGAGCATAAACCCTGTTCTCAGAACACAACGTTAACTCTCACTATATCATGAGGAAATCGCATAAAAATGGGGGATAAAGAGTGAGATTCTGGTACATTGTATATTGTTATCCTATTATGGGGGATAAAGAGTGAGATTCTGGTACATTGTACATTGTTATCCTATTTTAGTCTGGAGGTGCCTATATATAGCGTAAAAAAGTGATGACAACATTTTGCTGTTAGGTCAGCCCTGTTAGTACTCACGTCTGGAGGTGGCTGTGTATTTTCTCATGTTGACCGAGAATGTAATGTTCCACTATGTCCACCTTGTTTGAGGCACTACTGTAAGGCAGAAAACAAGCTGGTTTGATATAAACATGATGTAACAACACTTCTTATCATCAGAAGTACTTCCTAATGTTAGAGATTTCTGTAGCAGATGTAATCCTAGGGCTTATACAAGAGGCATATCAGGTATGTATCACTCACCTGTTTTTGATAATCTTACAGACAAGAAGATGAAATGTTTCCACTGGCCTGAGGTCAAGGTTACAAAATGTCATGCTAAATGACATACCCATGAAAGCATACATGTGTGTAAAGTTGCATGACCTTACCTGCAGTAGTACTAAGTCCATAACTGACCAAACACAAAAACTAAACCAAGGTCATAGAGATCAAAAGTAAAGGTCATAAAAATGTCATAAACATGTTGTTCTCATAGAGGCATATAAGAGTGTACCGTTGTGTGACTCTAGTATCAGTACTTAGTCCATAAATTACCTAAACAATTGTTTCTAAAAGTGTTGTGCAACATACTGTACTCATAGAGGCACATTTATATAAACACTGAATTCCCATGTCTAGGGATGCTCCATACCAAATGTGGTCAAAAGTCTTTTTGCTTCTCTTACAGAATGATCTTTTGAAAAATCCTTAAAGATCAAACCCCTGGTTTCCCATTTTTTGGCTCTGGGTAGGAGGAGGGCTGATCCAAGGGTTCTGTACAGTTAGAAACTTCACATTTATATATATTCACATATTTCTACGCCTACCTGTATACCTAACTGTGTAATACAATACACTCCAGGATTTCTACGCCTACCTGTATACCTACCTACGTAATATGATACACTCCAGGATTTCTAGACCAGCCTGTATACCTACCTGTGTAATACAACACACTCCTGGATGTTTACGCCTACCTGTATACCTACCTATGTAATACGATACACTCCAGGATTTCTAGACCAGCCTGTATACCTACCTGTGTAATACAATACACTCCAGGATTTCTACGCCTATCTGTATACCTAACTGTGTAATACAATACACTCCAGGATTTCTACACCTACCTGTATACCTACCTGTGTAATACAATACACTCCAGGATTTCTTCACCTACCTGTTTACCTAACTGTGTAATACAATACACTCCAGGATTTCTACGCCTACCTGTATACCTACCTGTGTAAAACAACACACTCCAGGATTTCTAGACCAGCTTGTATACAGCTATTTCCAGACTTGGAACTCAGCACACACTCAGTCACCTACACAACAATACAAAACTTCTTTGCTACATCAATTGATACAACAAATCTTTTTTATCAAATTGTACTTGTCTTATTGTAAAGGTTTTCCTGATCAAGACAGTTTACTACCATGGTACTGATAATCGATTTGTTTACTACCATGGTACTGAGAATCAATTTGTTTACTACCATGGTACTGAGAATCAATTTGTTTACTACCAAGGTACTGAGAATCGATTTGTTTACTACGAAGGTACTGAGATTCCATTTGTTTACTACCAAGGTACTGAGAATCAATTTGTTTACTACCAAGGTACTGAGAATCAATTTTTAGAATCAAATGAGGAGATTTTTACCTGATAAATTGAAGGATGAATTAAAAGGAGAAATATTATTCTTCATTTTAAAAACTTTATGTAGCAAATGTTTTTATGGAAGGTAATTCTCCAACAATTAAAAGAAATTAACACAAAGTAACTTGACTTTTAAAAGAAACCACAGGAGCTGGTATAAAGACTAGATTGAAGCATTATTTTACAGTTTATTTACAGTAACATGTGTTTCATGTGCTTATAAGATGTGATCCAACTTACCTTCTTGGTGAAGTCGACTTGGAGGACATCCCAGGACACGACACCATGGTCCATTAGTGACACGAATCCCTTCAAGATGTAGGATAAGGGCTCACCATGACTGTCAACAACAAAAACGTGGTTACAGTCAACGTGTCAGAACATACAAATCTAAGTTCATCTTGTCAATATCAACACCAAAAGATCCTGATATAAGACAAAAGTTACCTTGAATATCTTTCAAATATTTCAGTTATAGCGACACATAGATGACATTCAAACATTTTAAATGATCTGTTACAACCCCGAGTAAATTTCATATTTCATTTTTATGGTAAAAATGAACTGTGATTTATTTCACATTTATGGTAGAATGAAGAGTGGTTTATTTCACATTTGAAGTAAAATGAACTGTGGTATATTTCACATTCATAGTAAAATGAACTGTGGTATGTTTCATATTTATGGTAGAATGAAGAGTGGTATATTTCACATTGATAGTAATATGAACTGTGGTATATTTCATATTTATGGTAAAATGAACTGTGGTATATTTCATATTTATGGTAAAATGAACTGTGGTATATTTCACATTTAAGGTAAAATGAACTGTGGTATATTTCACATTTATAGTAAAATGAACTTTGGTATATTTCATATTTAAAGTAAAATGCACTGTGCTATATTTCAAATTTATAGTAAAATGAACTATGGTATATTTCATATTTATAGTAAAAAGAACTGTGCTATATTTCACATTTATAGTAAAATGAACTTTGGTATATTTCATATTTATGATAAAATGAACTATGGTATATTTCACATTTAAATGAACTGTGCTTTATTTCACCGTTTCAGTAATATGAATTGACCCATAGTAGTAAAGTAGAGCAATGGTTTCTTTTCTGAATCACTTTTTATAACATTTTTTTTTTAATTTACCTCAATTTGTTGTTGCATACAGAAAATAATGGTAGTATACAAAAGCTTACTGTTTTCCATCCACAACAAACTTGATAATCAGCAGGTGGCCATCTTTGTTAATGAATTCCATAGCAAATGTGCTGTCTGCTGCCAGACTAGACAATTTCTTAAGAGAGTCAAGCCTCTCCTCAGGCTTGCCATCCTTCAGCTTGGCATAAATACCAAGGGCTGTCTTTGCCTGAAATAAACAGATGTAATCAATAGTAACAATTACATATTAACTCATTCACCCCTGAAATTACATAATGAACCATTCCAACCTTTGAATTAGAAGATTTCAAATGTGTCTTCAGGGGTGAATGAGTTAAAGTACATGATCTGATTATAGTACAAAAAATTAATGGTACTTATCTGATTATTGCTGGAATTACATAGATTACATTATTTCAGATACGTAATATTGAGTCCCCAGTCCTTCAAGCAATTTCAAGCTACTGATGAATCTGAGATATCAAATATCAACCTACAATAGATCTCAACTCTCTGATATTTTACAGCAAAAAAGTTGAATGAAGTAATTTTGAAATTTTCTGTTGGTACATAGAGACTACTGATACATACCGGGGAGGAGGTCAGCTGGAGTACATTTCCATTGGCAATCTCTGATCGATTCTAAAAAAAATCAAAAAGAACACCTATACTTGTTTGGTAAAGAGAACTTGGTTAACTAGGACAGGATTAACTCAGTGAAGACATACTTGAAAAGTACAGAAGGTTCTAAGAATTAATAATACTTACAAAACCTTTAGGTATTGAGCCAACACTGTGGTTTCTTTAATAATAAATGCAGTTTGGTCCTTTTCTCCTTGTGAATGTCTGGTACCCAAAGGTAAGCAGGGTGATGGAGTAAATATGGGTTACAACTTATATTTATATAATATTTACAAAATACATAGGAAATCCTGAATTATAAGACAGCATTAGGAGTGGAGATAAGGAAGGGTGAGTGTAGTACAATTAAGACAGAAGAGGGCTTTCAGCTAAACCTCAACATTATTAATTTCGGAAGTCAAATCACAATACTTTGGAAATTTAGAGAGTCAAAACATACTGCATGCTTAAAACCTATTTTAGGAAATCAAACACAAGGAACTACTGAAAGTTCCGGTAAAACACCAAACATACCCTTTCTGTGATGTATGTCTGTCTATTAGGCTCTGAAAACTGCAGGGCATAGTCGTCAGGGTTTGCCAGATTCCATCTGTAACAATAATCGAAAACTTGACAAACGTTTGACATTGCATTTGGAGTGATTAGCTGACTGACTGCCTCAAATATAAGCCCTATACAAAAGTGTATCACTCCTTATTTGAATTGTAAAAGATAAGATGACATGCTAGATGTCAATCAGCAACATCAGGTTCATAATATTGGCATATTTTCTAGTCAAACAAGTTAAATATATATATAAAATTTGATTTTAGTTTTCAACAGTCAATTGCAACCAATTTGCCTTTGAAGAATTAAATTATAATGTTAACAAGCAAATTCCTGGAATTTATATCCCCTGCTTGCAGGACATATTGTAGATAATCAAGGGGCCATAACTCTGCCAAATGGAGTCGGATTAAAGTGGTCATCAAACTCGGTCGTGCCCTTAAGGCATTTAACCCTGGTACCAAGTTTGAAGAAAATCGGTTAACATTTGTTGCAGTTATGGCATGGAAACAGCAGATGACATTTTTCGTTATTCGTTACTCCACCAAATAAAGACCCAAATTAATATCCCCCTTTTCATTGAAAGCGGGTGATAACAAGGTAAGTATTGCGGAAGAATCCAAATAGTCAAAACTAGGTAATGGGCATCAAAAGTTGAAATTAGCGGCAAATGTTATTGTTTGATTCTCCTTTCATATAACACAATAACTGTAACAAGGGAAGATTTAATCCCGCAAAAGTGAGAGGGAGGATTAGGAGAAAATGTAAAAATATATTTTGCATAGATCATCCTACTTTTGCTATGCACCATCGCACTATTTCCAGATGTACCTTTATACCAAAGGCAACAATTCCATGTGGAATAATATATAAGATACATATATATGTCTCTGGACAAACAATTTCAATGATAAGAGTCAAAGGTGAAAAAATGTAGCCTACTAGGTCATGGCGATATATTTTTGGTATACAATACAGTATACTCTTCCATTCAATCGAGGTCATGGCGATATATTTTTGGTATGCAATACAGTATACTCTGCCATTCAATCGAGGTCATGGCGATATATTTTTGGTATACAATACAGTATACTCTGCCATTCAATCGAGGTCATGGCGATATATTTTTGGTATGCAATACAGTATACTCTGCCATTCAATCGAGGTCATGGCGATATATTTTTGGTATGCAATACAGTATACTCTGCCATTCAATCGAGGTCATGGCGATATATTTTTGGTATACAATACAGTATACTCTGCCATTCAATCGAGGTCATGGCGATATATTTTTGGTATGCAATACAGTATACTCTGCCATTCAATCGAGGTCATGGCGATATATTTTTTGTATGCAATACAGTATACTCTGCCATTCAATCGAGGTCATGGCGATATATTTTTGGTATGCAATACAGTATACTCTGCCATTCAATCGAGGTCATGGCGATATATTTTTGGTATGCAATACAGTATACTCTGCCATTCAATCGAGGTCATGGCGATATATTTTTGGTATGCAATACAGTATACTCTGCCATTCAATCGAGGTCATGGCGATATATTTTTGGTATGCAATACAGTATACTCTGCCATTCAATCGAGGTCATGGCGATATATTTTGTATGCAATACAGTATACTCTGCCATTCAATCGAGGTCATGGCGATATATTTTTGGTATACAATACAGTATACTCTGCCATTCAATCAAGGTCATGGCGATATATTTTTGGTATGCAATACAGTATACTCTGCCATTCAATCGAGGTCATGGCGATATATTTTGTATGCAATATCATATATATATGTATACTCTGCCATTCCCAGATGTACCTGCATACCTATTTGGTAACTAATCCACAAATGAAGTAATATAGAAGATAAATGAGCCATGGACAAGCTGTTTCAATACATGTGATTACGGTAAGAGGTCAAAATTTTCAAATTACAAGTCAGTCATACAGTTACATGTATATATTTTTAGGCCCAAAATACATCTTCGTGTACATAACTATATAGCAATTAGTACTCCAGGTGAAATATAAAGAAGCTATACCCCAGACAATCTGTTTCAATAATTGGGGTCAGAGGTCAAAATATTGGTCACAGAACTTGCTTTATTTTTTGTACATGATACTGGTAGCTGGTACTCCCTCAATCTGAGATGTATTTAATATGGTAGCTCCAAGAGAAATATTAAAGAAGATCTATATGCTCCAGACAAATCATTTCAATAATAAATTAGGGTCAAAGATCAAATCATCCAATTTCTAGATGTACACTTGTGCACCAAATTTGGTAACTTCAACTGAAATAGTTCAGGAGATCATGTGATGCTCCAGACAAATATTTGGAACAGAAACACAGAGTGCAACCTACAGTTCCAACCGACAGTCCAGAAGGAGACTTAATTGGAAATTGAAATGTGTAAAATGAACAATTATCTATAGTAAACCAAAGTAACAAAACAAAATTGGCAGTTGTTATTTTCACTTTACATATGTCTTTACCTTTCAGAAATGTCTTGTATAATAGCAGCAAGTGGTCTATTCTGAAATTTAAAAACGTTATACACAAATATAAATGTTCAATTTTTACATAGAACAATGAACCTAAATACTAGAAAATCATCTTATAAAAGCAAAGTAAAACATAAAACATCTATTTAGAATTTTTACCGATGATATCAAAATCTATATACCAAATTTTCTTTTTTTAGTTTTAAATTTCCATCTGTCTTTTCTTTTAATTAATTAATTCAACTCTGATTTCAGATGCAGCTTTTTAAAAAGTTATCATTCTTGTCCAAATAGTTTATTTATAATAATTCAAAATTAATCTGTTAAATGGTAAACTAATTATTCTACTTTTCTTGCTGCTTTGGGTGATTACTAAATGAATATTCAGCATGATTTCATACTCACTTTAGCAATTTACTGCTTTAATAATTTTCCGTGTGCATTAGTCATGTTCGAAATCTACAATTTTTTCTTGCAGATGCAATTTTATTGTTAGTTATATTTGAAATCAGGCAGAGAAATTTAAAACTGACGCATGACTCTTAAAATTCTATTGAATATTTAATAACTGCCAAAATTTCAGTTCCACAGAACTTACAATATAAGATAGAACAGAGTCATAAAACTAGCTAAAAACTATAATTAGCAGTTGTGTTCGACCAGCTGAACATTGCTTCGGTATATATCTAAGCAGTTCAACATAACAACCTCCTTTTACTTTTTAATGAATGGTATCTATGCTCCATCAAAAATAAATAAAAGGGAATAGTTATTTCGGATAGTATCTAATTGATGAAAATTTACCAAAAAGGTATCTTTCCATGATCATGAGTAATTATTGTATAATAGATGATTTATTTAGAAAATTAAATATATCGTATTAACAATAAAAGCAAATGTATGTTATTATTTGGTTCGCCTACCAGGGACGTATAGTGAATATATATATACTGTCCCTAGCCTACCTGATCAAGCTCCAGAAACAGTGCCTGTTCTCCTGCTCGTGTGACGGCAACTTTCTTGATGTTTTCCTGTTGGTTCTTGGCAGACAAACGAGGATTGATGGGTAAAACTTTCGGAGGATCCATCTTGAATGTAAATTGCACTTCTACAGACCTCCGTTGACCCTAATGTAGACCTAAGCTTACATGAAATGTTAATACGAGATGTTCACTATGTATAATGTCCGAACTGGCCAACTTACAAATCACCGATATCTTATGATGAAGGTCTGCAAATGTTCGAATGGACATACATATGTGGACATGTGATAACTACTAAAAGGATAAGTTCATCTAATCTCTCCATTGCATGTTAATACATCATTTTTAAACTAGTGACACAAGTTGTTGCTTTTCTCTTCCCGTTTCCTCTCAGCTTCCTGTTTTCATCTTCCTCATCCGTGTCGCTCAGACGCTTGCGACGTGGGGGCTCCCGTCGGGGAAATTGTTATACTAGCGGGAAATATGAAATATAGAGGCTAGTCTAAACTAAAAAAAATAACATAGTAGATTTTATGAGAAAATTCAGATAGAGCATTTTTAGTGATTATTTTATACTTCTTTTCTACAGAATACTATGGAAATTGTACAGAAAAATTACGCTTACATAATTATTCTAGACTATAGTTTTGAATGACAACAAAATACCTATTTTTTTAAATTTTCAAAAAATATGTCACTTTATTCACTTTTACCTTGGCAGTCTGAGTTTGTAATATAAATACTTCCTTGACAGTATCTACTTAAATGACCTCAGCTGTTAACAGGACCCAATCGGCAGTCTTACAATGACAACTTATTGATCCCTAAATCCCATCATAATCATTGAACAATGACATATGTCCCTGTTTCTTTGTCCTTCTATTTATATATTAATAGCACACATTGCACATTCATGTCCAAATATATATGGAAATTGTACAGAAAAATTACGCTTACATAATTATTCTACTATATAAGTTTTGAATGACAAAATGTTTTGTATACTGGATATATACTTAATTTACTAAGAAGAATTTAGACGGATATTTAAAGAAAAAAATCATACAATTGTAGGGACAGTCATGCTTCTTGGTAATAAATGCCAACGTGGGGCCCCCGGGACCTGAGAATTTGTTACAGCTATATTTGGACCTAAGCTTAGGTGTTCAGAGTAATTTAACATGTTTTAGGGGTTTAGATCGACTTTTCGGTAAAAATGACACCCCCAATGATAATATATATAGGAGAAGGGAGGAAAGCTCTCTATGTCAAAATGTCGACCCCTGTTACCTAACCTTCTTGCATCAAAAACAACATTTCTAGTTGATCTACGGGAAAATGCTTAGTACCGATGGAAAGATGGATCATTTTTATTTTAAAAACCTCCTATATGATCATTGGGGGTGTCATTTTTACCCAAAGTCGATCTAAACCCCTAAAACATGTAAAATTACTCTTAACAGAGACATATAAAGTATATACGTCTCTGCTCTTAAGATCACCTTAGCTTATGTCCAAATATAGCTGTAACAAATTATCAGGTCCCTGTGGTAATTGCCGATAGAAATCCACACAAACCACACCACATTACAGCCTCATGCTTTTGTTAAGCAGACAATGAAGAGTTGTGGAATATATAAATTATACAAAAAATACCTTAAATCTATGAACCAAAAAAGGTACAGCACAGAAACAGGCTCTCTGGTGATACTAAGGCAGGTAATTCAGTCTATATGTGGATGTACATGAAAATGACTGTTGAATTTTATTTTTCAGTTTTGGGCAAGTTTGAATGTTATCTCACTCATTATTTTAACAACTTAAAATTAACTGAACTTTAACTTATATTTACTATTTGAATACCCTAAATAACTTGTTTATGGAATTGCGCAATGGTACTTTAATTTTCCTAACAACAGAGCAAAGTTACCTCCATTAGAAGATGAATTAAATATCCACTGCGAGGGGACAGTGTTTTTCAATGGACAATTTCAAAAACTCCAAATCACCAATAGAAACTGTTCTCCAAAATAAAAATGAATCCTAGCTGCAGTAATGTTGGTTTGGCAGTTTAAGCGAACTGAAATGAAACTGACATCATGAAAATGTGTTGAACATTTCACAAAATCATCTCCTCTATAAGCTGTTAACGTTGATATACAAAGTATTTTGATAGTAAAGGAGCCATAATAAATAAGACTAGTAAAGTCCCTAAAGGTCATAAGTCTACATTTTGAATGAGACTAGACCTAAGTCTACGACTTTTGCTAATGATTTATATGCATCACTAATAAAAACATGTGTAATAATTAGTTCTTAAATGAAAAAAAAATGAAAAAAAAACTGATAAACGTTTCAGCGGATTTCAACTACCGTAAAAACCCATGTAATTTGCGCACCTGTGTAATTTGCGCAGGTACTTTTTGAGGCTGAAAATCGGGAAAAAAGCTTCTACTCGAATATTTTGCGCACCCAAAAAATTTGAAAAAAAAGCATGTTCATGCTCCGACTATTGCCATTCATTGTCAGAAACACTAACTATAAACAATTGAGATTCATGTTCATAAACACTTACTTCAGATCATAAGATCCCAGATCACAAACCCTTACTATTGATCGCTGAGATACCTGGGACCAGTTTTGCTAACAGTCAAAGATGATGATAAGCATAACCAGTTGCACTTGGAAGTCGTAAAAGTCCAGAGCTTAATCTTAAACTCAGAGTCAACAGAGTTTATGTGAAGCAACGTCGAAGCTCACAGGTCTTTTCAATTCCTTTATTGAATTATTTGACCCAAAGGATATCGGTATGAATTTGAAAGTAGGTCAATGTCATTCAGTTAACAAAATACATTTATAGACCTCCACTATAGCAAGCAACAGACTCTATATCAAGACATGCATTGCAAATCTCATATTCTTAAATAGCAAGAAATTTATGTTTCAAACTGTGGTAACACAAGAATTCCACAGGAGTGGATGTGTAGCCTGCGCAACAGATTTTCTATTTATAGTAACGTTGACCTTTACCTTTGACCTTTGGATCTGAAAAGCTATCCCAAGCAAGTACGTGTACTTTTAGTAAGGAAGTACTGTTTGAAGTTTGATTTCAATCAACCCAAGGGAACTCGAAGTTATTGCACGGAAACCTAATGTTTCGGATAACGCAACCGGCAACGACGACAACGCCGACAAAGTAATACTCGCGTTGCAGGTGACACAAAAAATCACCAAAAGGCTTTAACTCTTTACCTAATGGGCATGAGACTCTATTTTAGCAAACTCTACCATCCTAAGATAAGTTAGTACAGCAAGTTTGATGAATGTCTGTGAAATAGTAGCAAGGAAGTTATGTACCATTTAATCTTGGTATCAGATAGGAAAGAGGGCCAATAATTATTTTAAATGGGTCATCAGACCCTTTTTCAGTAAGAGATACTGCTCCCTCCTATCTGTGAATAGCTGTACTAGGTATTTACCCATGGTATGAGTATGCGCATGGACTTCATAAAGCTGTCTGTAAATCACTGTACATAAGGTATAATAACCAGTATGTGGATTACATGAACCTTGCAGTGAATTGCCATTTGCAAATACTGTATATTCTTTTGTGACAGAGAGAAACAACTTATTGCAAGCATACTACTTACTTACTTACTTAATCCTGTTCGTGCTGGGAAGCACATAAAGCCTTCACTGAGGATCGCCATCTCTGTCTGTCTGCTGCCATCTGGTGAATCTGGCCCCAAGTCAATCCAAACTCTCTCATTTCCTTCTCCACTGATCGCCAGCTCCATGTTTCCTTTGGTCTCCTCTATTTCTCTTTCCTGCTGGTGTCCATCTCATGGCAACCTTTGGAATTGATGTTGTTTCCATTCTGTGGACATGTCCAATCCATTTCCATCGTCTCATCTTGATCATCTCAGAGATTGGTGATGTTGAGGTTCTCTGACACAGTTCTTTATTGCTGATGGTGTTGGGCCAGAAAACCTTCAGAATCCGTCTGAGGCATTTGGTCTGGAAGACATCCAGTTTGTGGACAATGCTTTTGGTCACCTTCCATGACTCAGCACCATAGAGGAGGACTCTAATGATTTTGCTCTTGAAGATCCTGATCTTGATCTTGATGCTGATGACTGATGACTTCCAAATGCTCCTTAGGTTTGCAAAGGCTGCTCGTACTTTGGCTATTCTGTTCTCTGCATCAGATGCTGAGTCTCCATCGGCTGTGATCTTACTGCCAAGGTAGACAAACTTCGTCTACTAAGGTGTTCCCAGTCATCACATCTCTACTACTAAGGTGATCCCAGTCATCACATCTCTCCTACTAAGGTGTTCCCAGTCATCACATCTGTACTACTAAGGTGTTCCCAGTCATCACTGATGATGATGACTGATGACTTCCAAATGCTCCTTAGGTTTACAAAGGCTGCTCGTACTTTGGCTATTCTGTTCTCTGCATCAGATGCTGAGGCTCCATCGGCTGTGATCTTACTGCCAAGGTAGACAAACTTCGTCTACTAAGGTGTTACCAGTCATCACATCTCTCCTACTAAGGTGTTCCCAGTCATCACATATCTTCTACTAAGGTGTTCCCAGTCATCAAATCTCGTCTACTAAGGTGTTCCCAGTCATCACATGTGTTCCCAGTCATCACATCTCTACTACTAAGGAGTTCCCAGTCATCACATCTCTTCTACTACGGTTTTCCCCGTCATCACATCTCTTCTGCTAAGGTGTTCCCAGTCATCACATCTCGTCTCCTAAGGTGTTCCCAGTCATCACATCTCGTCTCCTAAGGTGTTCCCAGTCATCACATCTCTGCTACTAAGGTGTTCCCAGTCATCACATATCTACTACTAAGGTGTTCCCAGTCATCAAATCTCGTCTACTAAGGTGTTCCCAGTCATCACATTTCTACTACTAAGGTGTTCCCAGTCATCCCATCTCTACTACTAAGGTGTTCCCAGTCATGACATCTCTACTACTAAGGTGTTCCCAGTCATGACATCTCTTCTACTAAGGTGTTCCCAGTTATCACATCTCTTCTACTAAGGTGTTCCCAGTTATCACATCTCTTCTACTAAGGTGTTCCTAGTCATCACATCTCTACTCCTAAGGTGTTCCCAGTCATTACATCTCTACTACTAAGGTGTTCCCAGTCATGACATCTCTACTACTAAGGTGTTCCCAGGCATCACATCTCGTCTACTAAGGTGTTCCCAGTCATCCCATCTCTACTACTAAGGTGTTCCCAGTCATGACATCTCTTCTACTAAGGTGTTCCCAGTTATCACATCTCTTCTACTAAGGTGTTCCCAGTTATCACATCTCTTCTACTAAGGTGTTCCTAGTCATCACATCTCGTCTACTAAGGTTATCCCAGTCATCATATCTCGTCTACTAAGGTTTTCCC